TCTAATGACTAAGGCCCCTACATTATTCAATGTTGTGGGTGTCAGGGCTTCGGGTTGTGCCTGGGGGTTCAAGATGTAGAGTGTCAAGGTTAAGGCTCAAGCTGAGAGTGTAGGGGTTAAAGCGTATGGGAGGTTTAGAGTTTTCTGCCTTGTAGTAGATGGGTTCTTGTTAAGGTATTTAACTCATTTTACCAGAAGAAGGAAACCCTATTATTTACCATAGATCCCTATTATGGTAACTTGAATTATATTCCTTGACAAGAACCCAGTTTGCGGAGGCCGCAACCCTGTGCAGTCCCTGTGCAACGACGCGCTAAGATGCCCCAACACTCTGCCATTCTGTTCCCGAAATCTTGCCTTACGCTTGTTAAGCTTAAAGACGATGCAATACCCATCTCCTCTAGGCTTTTTACATCAAGTACTGCAGAACTTGTCTGCCGGCCGGAGAACCGAATTGTTGGCGATGCCAGTGAGGATGATGAAGATGATGGCGACGGCCATCGATGATCGTTGATGGATGCTAGCAACTCCCTGTCTGTCTGCTGCTCATCTTGTGATAGGATTCTGGAACGGCAGCTCCAGCAGTTCTAGCAGCAACAGTACCAGTAGCAAAACTTGTCGCGAACCGCGCCTTAGCACCGTGGCCGAGCTTTTGATCTTCAGAGGTTGAGTAGTATTCGAGCCGCATCTATCATATACTTATACCGGCACCCTGACATTAGTCTTTCAGAAGCCTCAGTTCGGAGGTGCGGCAGGTTGGACGCAGACCTCTGTCACCCTATGTGGTGTGCACTGAACTGACAAGAGAGGCAGTCCCTGCTGTTTCTTTCCTGAACCACAGAATGTCCAAAATCATATAGACCCTTAGGGAGAGAAAGGAGAAGGGGGGTAGGGGACTAAACTTCCTTAAATAGGCCTTTATAGGTCCATGTTACAGGTATTCAGGCTCCCTACCCCCTCCCCCCAACTCCCCTAAGAGTCCTTATAATACTTGACTAGTAGCTGGTGCCTCTTGGAGCTCTGAAACCGATGATGGCCAGATGGTCTCGATGTTAACTGTCACATGGAGACGCGTGCACTGGCCTGAATAATTACCATGATTCGTTTTGTGCGAGGAATGGCAGTCGTCGTTTAGGCAGGCCGTCGAATGTTAAATTCAACATGTACAGTACAGTTTCGATCTCAACCATATACCTTGCGTGCCTCAAAACCACAGCTCAGCATGCCTCTAAGACGGTCGATCGGTCGATCTCCGCATGTCTTGAGGATTCAAGATCACGCGAATCCGTTCCTTCTACATGCGGAAGGCCGGGCGCAGACATCATGCATTATCTGTCTGGTGCTTAGTGGGGAATGGGGAATGGATCCCTGTGATAGTTGCTTAAGATCCCTTATAGTAGTCCCTATAACCCATTCCCCCATTCCCTACTAAGCACCAGACAGTTATGCCCTTGTTTGAGGTGCCTGCCATCCCGAAGGGCCATTAGTTTGCTGATCCCCTTCGGCTGTAGCAATGAGACCGAAGGAAAACCCGCCACAGCGCAGGGAATCCTCCCACTTCTATGCAACCACGAAGGTGAAGTTCTGCCAGACTACCTACAACGAGAAGTTCTCGAAGATCATCGAGGAGTTTCCGAAGATCGACGACATCCACCCTTTCTATGCCGATCTTTGCAGGATCCTAAGCCAGGAACAAAAGTTCTTATGCATGGGTTGTGAAGCACAACAGATTTGCAAGTGCACAACACCAGCTATGTGAGTGCTTCGGCACTGGCCGGCAAGTCTGTCGCACCTCAGCCGCCGTCTCATATAGTCCGTCTATGCATCGAGCGCCGTTGCAAGGTAACGTCCTCTATGACAGAGACCACTACAAGCTTGCGCTTGGCCAGGTGCGGGACGTGCTGGGTCATCGGACGCTGCATACTGCAGGGTCTTTAATTCTTGATAAGAACAGTCCCCGAGGCAAACACCACTACCATCATGTTCAGCCCCCCTCTGTCACCGACAGTTCCAAGACTTTGATAGTTTTTTTCTGGAACTTCTGAACACCGGCGCCATCAGCCACCACGGCATTTATCATCAACCGAACTAGCCAACGCTAGCAGCCAGATTTGAAAACAATGGGGAACTTGGCAAGGAGCCCTGCAACAACCGCAAGAGGAATATCACTGATGATGGCATGCACAGTATTGACATGAGAAATTGGAGCTGTCCTGAAATCGCGCTTGCAGCAACAGTAAACCAAACACCTGCGGCACAAGGTGAATGCTTGCAAGAAGATTGTTGACGGCATAGCCAAGGACTATGCTGCTTGACAGTCATGGGTGTTCGTGGGTCAGTTTACCCTAAACCGTGATACGAGACCCTCAGCAATCGTTTCCACCGTTCTTCTGAGACTAGTCCATGAAACAAGTATGTTGTAGCGCATCACATCCCAAAGAAGCCTTTCCTTGAACCTCCACACACAAGTATGCGGCCACGTATCCTCAAAGCCCGAACCTCCACGACCTGTGCTATAGCACGTCCCCAATTGCCTTTTGTTTACACCTCTGGAGAACCTTCCACCCTTTGCCCCAGCCCCAGCCCTGGACTAGCGGTGCTGAGTTCAGACCTTGGGCCCGGGGTTGGACCCTACTTCGGGCTCCGGGGATGCAAAAGCTTCCCAGAGAGCCCAATGCCCCTTAATTATGGTATACACCATAAATCATAAGGGCCTTAATATTTTGATTTCAGGTATCTTCCTGAATTAAGGGGTATTGGGCTCTCTGGCTTATTGGGCTCGCTGCTTGATGGCAGGGCTGATGGTGGCTGTGCAGTACTACTTGGAGGTTCATGGGTAGTAAACAGTGGGGCTGTAAGTAAGGTAAATAGTTATAACCCATATTGGGGGGGCATTATAACCCCACTTATAACTACCCATGAACCTCCAAGTAGGTGGCACTGTGGGAAACTTTAGCATGGACCTTATGAGGTAGCAAGTCATAAATACTTTTAAGGGCCCCAAAAACTACAACCCAGATTAGATCCGTTCTGGTCTGAAGGGGACGGGGGGGGGCCTTGAACATGTACTGCAAAGCCGAGTGCTTGAACATCTCAGGTGAAGATGATGAAATTCGCCGACAGCCTGTACAAGTGCAAGATGCTCAAAAGAGCAGCAGGGACCCCAGGGTTCACGTGGTAGCGCACAGTCGCTTTTATCATCGTCATCATCAACAGCATCATCATGATCGGCATCATCATAGTCATCAGCACCATCGTCATCCACATACCAGTGGAATGGCAACACAAGTCCATTGCCGTCTTCACCAGCATTGCCAGCTCTGAAGACTCGAGTGGCAGACCCGGCACTGGACCCCTAAACCCTAAACCCTAAACCCTTAACCCTAAACCCCTAAACCCTCTAAACCCTAAACCCTAATACCTAATACCTCTTCTAGGGACTTCAGGATGGGGAACACCCTCCGAAAATCCAGCGAACTCGTAAGGAAGTCCGCGAAGGTTTAGGGCTGTGGGGTTTAGGTTCGTGAATCCTGCAGCCTGTGGTAGACTGCTCCAAGCCGCACTCCTCGCCCGAATGGAGTTTCATTGAGCGCACGCTGCATCTTCGGGCATTTATCTTCGCAACACCTCTATCAGCTACAAGTCGGCTGTTTGCAGAGACAGAGGCAGGGAGACAGAGCGAGAGACAGAGAGAGCGACAGAGGGTGCTTCATGGTTAAACCCGCTAACAAACCCCGTTACTCAAAGCTCGGAACCCTCAAACCGAAAGTCCTCCCTGAGACCGGTAGTCCCCTGAACCGTAAACCCTAAACTTTAAACCCCTAAACCCTGACCCTAAATCACTCGCCCAACGTTGAGATCAAGTGGAGGCCCTTGGTCGCATGGCCACGGCTGTGAAGAAGCTCACAGGCCGCAGGGCCAGGGCTGTGGGATTTTGGGTTTTCAGTTTTTTGGGGGCTTTAGGTTTCAGACAGTTAGGGTTTTAGGGTTTACGGCTTTAGGGTTAAGACGCTTAGGGTTTTAGGGCTTAGGGCTTTAGGGTTCAGACAGTCAGGGTTTTAGGGTTTAGGGCTTTAGGGTTAAGACGTTTAGGGCTTTAGAACTTTAAAGCCGTAGGATTAAGACGCTTAGGGTTTAGGGCTTTAGGGTTAAAGCGTTTAGGGCTTAGGGTCTTAAGCTTTAGGGTTTTAGCGTTTACAGTTTAGGGTTTTACGGTTTAGTGTTGGGGTTCGGTATCCTATAACAGGGCTCCACATTTACAGGTTCAGTAGATTTAGTATGATGGTTACATAAATACATCGGTTGGGAATATAAGTGTATACAAATATTCACCTGACTATGTAAGGGTTTTGGCTTGGTGGCTTTCACATGGTCTACTAGTGTTTGTAGCACCAGAGATCAAGTTGTAAGCCCAAGCCGGTTTATGACATGCACCTACTAGGGGAGTCCTTGCCATCACCATATACCTTTATAGCCCAGGCAGAGTCGAGCTAATCGTCAAGAACCCTAAGCTTGTTGCCCTCGAGCCCATAGCCTGGCTCATGCAATCATGGTTTAATATAGGGGGCCTAAATCATTACCAATACGATTTTGGGGTTCCTTCTTCTGATTGAAGTATAATCTACCCCAAAACCCGTCCCCTACATTAGGGCCGAGGGGAGTTCTACAACAGCTGACCTCTATGCTTAAATCGTGAAAGCATCCGGGAGCGCGTATGTAGAAGTACAGGTGGGATAGCCGGTACTTACGACCCTACTTGCAAGCTCCTTACTATTTCTTTTGATCCTACAGCCCAAGCACTAAACCCTAAAACGCACTAAACGCCCATGAAAAAGCCCAGAAAGACGCCTCTGCAAAACCTTTCATTACAAAAGAAAGAGTTGAGCGCCAGACTCAGACTCTTATTCCAAGCACTGCTCAATTAGTGTACCCCTTATTGCAACCCCCTTTCTGTGAAACCCTGGCTGAAAAGTCGGCCCTTAACCCCTAGACCCTAAATCCTAAACCCCTAAACCGTAAACCCTAAACCCTTAAACTCTAAACCTCTTGTCTAAACCCCTAAAGCCTAAATACTAAACCCCTAACCCCGAAACCCTAATCTGATCCACCGGAGGTGCCTTGTCCTTCCTCGAAGAGGCCTGGGCCATCTGCTCTATACCGGAGAGCAGCTCCTGCAGTGCAGAGTCTCATGGAAAGTAGTTTGGGGTTTCGGTTGTATGGGTTTAGGGTATCGGGTTTTTTTTTGCTAGGGCCGTGTGCG